AACCAGCCCAAAGACCCAAGCCCAAATCCTAAATCTACCCGACCCAACCCGGATTATATCCTGGCCGTTGATCAATTTTTATCAACGGTCCAGATTCATTCTTACCAAATTAAACCAAACGACCCCCCAAACCCCTCTCATTCCTCACTCATCTCTATCTCTCTATCTCTGGTTCTCTCTAGAACCTTCCCCCTTCCCCTCCGTTCCAATGAGTCTCACTCACCTTCTCCGGCCACCTCCTGGCCTGAATCTATGGTGGTCTCACCACCTACCAGCCTTCCATGGTGCATACACGCTTTGTTTGATGAAGTTTCATGGTCTGACCATGAAGAAGCTTCATCCAGACCTTGTTGATTCAAGTTTATGGCCATCTCCGGCCTTGCTCCGGCAAGCCATGTCTGTTTCGAGCCTGACCTCGACTCCTCCTGCTTAAATCTATCCAAGCCTTTCTCACCGTTTGGGTTCCTCTGAAACCCTAGCTTTTGAGGTTCATCTATTTTCTTTAGATCTGTTCTAGATCCGTGTTTTCCCTAAAATTTAAACGATTTCTTGATATTTCTTGCAAAAAGTTATGCTTTCAAAACCTTTATATTTTTTTCGATTTAGGGTTTTTTTTTTGTGTTCCTTATATGTTCTCTACTGTGTTCTTTATATGGTTCTCTATTGTGTTCTTTATATGTTTCTCTACTTTGTTCTTTATATGTTTCTCTACTATGTTCTTTATATGTTTCTCTACTTTGTTCTTTATATGTTTCTCCTACTGTGTTCTTGTTAAGTTTCTTCTAATATGCTTCTTAATATGCTTCTCTTACTATTCTTATTAGTTTCTTCCATTAGGTTTCTTATCAGTTCTTCTACTATGTTTCTTTGCGTTCCGCTGCTGTGTTTCAGATGTTCTTCTTTTACTATGCTTCTCATGAGTTCCTGCTACTGAAAGAGCATGTTAAAGGTCTCAGTTCCTTTCTGAGACCTCTGAACCTGTTTCGATTAGTATCTTTTTCCTTGATTACTTGTCCTCTCATCTCTGCACTCGATTGATGGTGAAACCCTATCATCCAAGTTTGAGAACATTGGCTATGTGATATGACTTCATCTTTGAAATTGTCTGATTTCAGAAACCCTAGCTATTTCGAGTTTCTGAATTTGTTTCATCTGCTGCTCAACTGAGTCTTGAAATCTTTGTTTTCAACCTCTGTTTCTTTAAGCAATTTTGATTCTCCACTAAACTCTTCTAAGGTCTTTGCACTGGACTTTTGTATGTTATTTGATACTATCTCTCTTCTACATTGCTGACCTATGTGACTAGCATGATCCTATAGCCTATTACCTACCGATTTTGTAATGACATGACATTTTTCTTTGCCCTAAATTCAGCTTAGCATGTTTGTATGCTCTTTATATGTGCCGAACTTCCCTCCAAAATGGCTTTCAATTTTGATTAATTTCAGACTTCCTTCTGTATAGGTTTGATTGATTTCTTTCCTTGTTTGTTGATTTCCCTGTGACTCGATTTAAGTTAAAAACTTTCCTCAGCTTTTCCGACTTGGTTCATTCATGGACCAGTGATTACAAAATCTCTGATCCTTGATTTACCGTCTACTAATTGATTTTCTTACCTTATTTATGTAACCGTGTTTTTCAAAGTTCTGCCCTTAAATAAACTCCTATGTATTTACCCCTAAATGCCTACTTTGCACAAGATGCTTGTTTGATATCTTTCCTTAAACAATTTTATTACTCATTACCGTTTAAGTCCGAATTCCTTAATTTAAGGAAGTCTTGTACTGATTGATTTTAATTGATACCCAGTTCCTTAATTATTTTCTTACCTTATTTTTGCCTGTTTTTCACACTATAAGTACACGACTCTTTCATTAACACAAGTACCCCATCACTGGTAGTCTTTCTAAACTTATACTTACACTCAAAAATTATTCTCTCTTGTTTGCTTATACTGTTGCCTGTTACAAGACCTGTTGCTTGCTTTCTCTCTATTTGTTTCTTTGAAACTAGTATGTCCTGATTTAAGTTTCACCACCACAATAATGTATTTATTTATTGCTTTAGTATCCATGTTTACTGCTTATGTATAGTTCAACACTCATTCTAGCAAGAATCCAAAAAACCCTACCCCCCCCCCCCCCCATGTGTTTAAGCTATGGTTTAAGGCATGGCAATACTGCAAGTTATTGTCCATGAATCAGACTTGATCCCCTGGGATCCTAGACTCTAATAGTATGTGTTCTAACGGACTTATAGGTATGATAGCACCCTCCATTGCTGGGCATTCCTAAAGTCTGTCCTTGCCTAAGCAATAGGCTCTTTACAATCTCCCATCTTCCCTGCACCCCTTATGTGTGTTTACTTGTAGTTGTTCCCTCTCCCTTTCCCCTTTAACATTCTGTTCTGCACTTCCACACACTTTCTTAGTCTTCAAGTTTTGCCCCCCTCTTGTGAGCCCTGCCTTGGGACCCTTTGAGTTCCCTCTGAACTTGGACACTTGAGGGTTGGCCCTTCCACACTGCACTTATCCCCAATCTGATAATACAAGTGAGTGTGAGCATTGCCCGGAGTCCCTTTGAGGCTCTTAGGGAACTTTGACACACTCAAATAAGAGAAAGGCTTTGGATCATGATCTCTTGGAGTTGGTTTACCTCATATTTCAGACATGAAGTCTGAATCAGGCTCTCCTTTGGTTGTACTTTTATTTTACTATTTTTTTTATGTAATTTTTTTTATTCATTCTGGTTTATAATAAGTTGTAATAAAACGCTTGGGGCTGGCTAGTGAAAAAGGGTGGGTAACTCTGCATGCAAAGGGTAGAAATCATGTCTATAGGTCTATCATAATTTTGCATATTTCAAATACATATAGAAACCATGACTATAGGACTACTATATTCCTGCCTATCGAACTATCATATAGAAACCATGTCTATAGGTATTCTGAATTCTGCATATTCAAATAGAAATCATGTCTATGGGTCTAATCCTGCATATCCAACTTCGTATAGAAATTATGCATATAGGTTTGTCAATTCTGCATATTCAATTACATTTAGATACCATGTTTATAGGTCTTAAACTAATTCTGCATGTCATGTTTATAGGTTTAAAACAAGCCTTATGCATTTAGATACTATGTCTATAAGGTTTCTGCATTTTTATTCCATGTCTATAAAGTTTAAAATCAGCAACGCATAGAAAGTATGCCTATAGGAATTGCTAATCGAATCTGATTCGCCTCACTCAGTGTTAAATATAAAACCGGTAACAATGGATACTGACGGTTGCAGAATTTATAATCAATTCGTTAAATCCTGCCTCTCTTTTAATAATCTGATTCCTCCACTTAGCAAGTTTAACAAGTATGCATTCAAATAATTTATTTCAAGCCTTACTATTTTCTGAATTCAGTAGATATTATGCCTATGGGACCCCGTCTTAACACTTAGGCAAGCCATAGGGTAATAACTATAAACTGAATCTGTTCTATTAATTACAACCAGCAGGCAGGCCTGATTCGGGCTTCTTATCTGAATTATGTAATAAATTAGTCTGCCTCAACCTTTAAGTTATTTCACGTTTAGTATTCAATCAGACCCTAAATAGTATGTGTAAGTCATGCTAATTATGTGCTTCTTTGTTTAAAGGGGGTATATTTGAGCCTTTGCTTTGTTATGTGCTTTCCCCAACTTGTTATACGTGTTTTGTATGTCGCCTTAGAATTTTGCCCATTTGAAACCACAAGTAAGCCTAACATCCCTTCCCTTTAGGATTAGTAGTCCTAATACCTCCGGGACTGATAGGATTGGGACGGGTAATAGCATGCAATTGGTAAACGAGATCATTCCACGCTTTAATACCTTAACGGGGTGGGAAGGGTAGATATGGATATGATGACCACGCGATAATGTCACGTATAGCCCCTCATCGAGGAGTGATTACCGGGCATTGTGTGGGGTGATCCATATTATTAATAAACCTAGGACCCCTCTCCCTTTATTCTTTATTTTTAACTCTTTGTTTTTTTTAAATCAGCTTTTCTAATTATTCTTTCAAACCTTGTTTACTTTCAAACTTTTATGTGATGAAATCCCCTTTTATTTGAGCCCTATTTGTTTGTATCTAAGTGTACCCAAATTCACAATAATAGTCTGGCCAGGAACCACACTAGTGGATTATGAGGGGTGCCTAACACCTTCCCCTTAGAATAATTTCAAGCCCTTACCCAATCTCTGGTTACTCAAGTCAAATCTCCTTGGTGTCCTGATACACCCTGATCATTAGGTGGCGACTCTTCAAATCAAACCCAATTCCCAAAAGGAATGAGTGGTCCTCCCAAATGTCATAAACCCGATTTCGCGAGAAAAAGGGGGCGCGACAGTTAACTGTCATGGATCTAGAGATCAAGCTCAATGAAGAAGACGTGCAAATGAACCCACACTTTGAGAGAAACAGAGTTCTGTTCTTAGAAGAAGAAAGCAAAATGATACAAGCGTATATCTTTTGAGTCTACAGTACATTCTCATATCTACAGTATAACTAACTTCCACTGTACTAACTAACTAACTATAGTTACATAATTAACTTATCAGCTTGGTTAACTAACTCTAGTCAACAATATTACTAGCTAAAATTTTTACTTTCAAAGTAGTGTGTCTATATATATATGTACTAATTAACTGTTAAAATAAATTATTGTTTTATTACCAATTTGTTTTTTACTATTACCCAAAAAAAGACCGATATATTTCATGAGTTGAGCTCTCCGTTATCTTTCTTTCCTTGATGTTCTTTTCTTTTTGTTTCTTGGGGGTTGTTTGACTGTCTATTTTGCATACACTAGCAATAAGTGCATTCAAAATTTGCTTCGCATGGGCAGGTGCTAACTGCCAAATATTATAATCAAAAGTACCAGCTTACGAAATCAAAGGACTGATATATCACCAAATATTCTTCCAATTTAAAAGGGCATATATTTGTGTTAGAATCATCAGTTATCAAACAAGCAAGTTAAGAAAAAAAATGGCAACCTTAAAATTTGTTTTAATTTTCATTCTTTCTCTTGCATTTGTGTTCGGGCTTTCCAATTCACAAGGCTTACAAGTAGGGTTTTACAAGAAAACATGTCCAAATGTAGAAGCAATTGTCAAAAAGGCAACAACTGACTTTGTTTCTCGTGCTCCTACTTTGGCTGCTCCATTGTTGAGAATGCACTTTCATGATTGTTTTGTTAGGGTAAGCTAGTGATCATTTAATGCGTTACTTATCATCTCTGTATATTTATTTGACTTTTTTCACGTTGAATGAAGTACCACAATAGGATTAAGTTTATATATGGTCACTGAAATAGTAGAAAGTCTCTCGAAACTAAATTTATCATGATATAAAGTAACTAAACGTTATCCACTATGGAAAGTCTCTCGAAACTAGTATATCATTCAAAGTAATTAAATTTATCCACTATAATAACAAAGTTTGTAAAATTTACTTACAATAATAGTAAATTCACCTTGATGTGGGTCGGTTTTACCATTACAGTTGGTAATTAAAATATTTGTGACTTTATTATTATGGTTAAGTAAAGTTCAATATTATAATGTAGCTAAGAAAATAATTTTGTGATTTTACTGATATAGAATGGTGATGAATCCCTCTAATTGAACATCGTCATCTAATTAACAAAGTTCTAATTAAATAGACAAGTTTTATGAGTTTTTATTTATATTTTGTTATAGGGATGTGATGGTTCAGTGCTACTTAATTCAACAAAAGGCAATCAAGCTGAGAAAGATGCAATTCCAAATCAAAGCCTAAGAGGCTTCCAAGTGATTGATGCTGCTAAATCTGCTTTAGAAAAACAATGTCCTGGCATTGTGTCGTGCGCTGATATTTTAGCCTTAGTAGCTCGTGATGCTGTTTCACTGGTAACCAATTACATACAATCCATTTATAATTAGCATTTCAATGAAGTTCTAGTACTGCTAAACAAAAGGAATGAGGATTCATATCGCCGACCTCAACTTGCTTGGGATTGAGGCATAGTTATTATTATTGTTATTTCAATGAAGTTGCTCTGATGGTAAGCAACCTCCACTTCTAACCAAGAGGTTGTGAGTTCGAGTCATCCCAAAAGCAAGGTGGGAAGTTCTTGGAGGGAAGGATGCCGAGGGTCTATTGGAAACAGCCTCTCTACCCCACGATAGGGGTAAGGTCTCCGTACACACTACCCTTTCCAGACCCCACTAAGTGGGATTATATCGGGTTGTTGTTGTTGTTGTTGTTGTAGTATTTCAATGAAGTTCCGAGGCATATAATAATTTTCTAAACACATTATGGGTTGTTGCAGATTAATGGACCAACTTGGCAAGTAGAGTTGGGAAGAAGAGATGGGAGAGTTTCAATTCTCTTAGAAGCCATAAGAAACCTGCCAACTCCTTTTGACAACTTTACTACTCTAAAATCATCATTTGGCGCTTTGGGCCTAAGTGTAAAAGACCTTGTTGTTCTATCAGGTAAATTTATGATTTGTGTCAAAAGTAAAATAAAGTTACTGCATCTGGAAGAGTTAAAGTTCAAGAAACAATAATCCTTAGCATTTCTATTCTAGGAAAGTTTGCACTTTTAGCCTATCAAATATTGATATATTCTAATTCTGGTCCTTGTGATTTATGACATATACTAAACACATTGAATCGTTAATTAATTAAAATATGCACTTTGATCCATCTATATTAAATTTTTGTAAACATAACGAATTATAAACCATTACATCAGTTGATTAGCCATGTGTTATACTCCCTCTGTTCTAATTTATGTGAACCTGTTTGACTGGACACGGAATTTAAGAAAAAATAAAGACTTTTGGAATTTGTGGTCCTAAAACAAGTCAAAAAGGGACCTAGAGTATTTGTGTGGTTATAAAAGCTTCTCATTAAGGGTAGAATTGTAAGTTTAAGCTAAATTGATTTCAAATTTAGAAATGGACCATTATTTTTGGAATAGACCAAAAAGGAAATAGGTTCACATAAACTGGAATGGAGGGAGTATTAAATTTATATCGTTACTTCATATCTGAGGTAATATATGATTCTTGAAATAGTCTAAATGTAACATACTTTTTATATAAATGGACCATAATGGCATAGTCTTTAAATAAATTAAAGGTTATATATGCTCAATCACATATCACAAGAAACAATACTAGATTTTGCTAATAAATGAGGGACCAAAAATGCTATTGTCCCTATATCCTTTTCTTAATTTTTTTTCTTTTGCCTTATTTATTATATTTCACGTATAGGTGGCCACACTCTTGGGGTATCACATTGCTTTTCTTTTGGAAGTCGTTTGTATAATTTTACTGGTAAAGGTGATACAGACCCAAATATGGATCAAAACTACATAGGTCAATTGAAGACCAAATGTAAGCCAAATGATGTGACCACCACTGTTGAAATGGACCCTGGAAGTGCAAAAAGTTTTGACACTGATTATTATACCATGGTTAGCAAAAGAAGAGGGTTGTTCGTATCTGATGCAGCTCTTCTCACTGATAGTCAAACAAAAGCTTATGTCTTGTCCCAATTAAATCCGGTGGATCAACTTTCTTTAAGGATTTTGGAGTATCGATGGTAAATATGGGCAAAATTGGGGTCCTTACAGGGAAATCAGGTGAAATTAGAAAACATTGCGCTATTACAAACTAAGAGAAACTTTTTGGATTTTGTATGCTCCTAATGTTTTGGGGCATGCCGACAATTATATACCTGCTAATCCGATGTCCACCCCGCCTCATATTGTGCCAGAATGGTATTTCCTACCGATCCTTAATAAGCTATTTCCCTTGCAAAATTTTAGTTTTTCGTATTGGTTTGTCTAATAGACCTCTGCTTGCAGTGAGTACTTTTTTTTTATTTGATTAGTTCGTGAAATATGTATCTTATAGTGTAAACTTTTACTTTATTGTAAGTTTGTAAATTTTTTTTGTTTATTTTGTAAGTTTGTAATTCAGTTTGTTAAGCATTTTTTGTTGTTGTTGTTGTTGTTTGTTAAGCATGTAACTAATAAAATTGCTGCTTCCCTTTTATAACTAGCATGCATGATTAGGATTATCCTTTTGTTTTACTTCTTTTTTTTTACTTAAAAATATCGAAGGGTTAATTTCGACCACAAAATTTTATTCATATACTATATGATTCCATAAGACGATTGCAGATAATTACAAAGGTTGAAAGATACCTCACAGCTAGTATGATAACATAAGACATGGGATTCGAACTAATGATCAGTAAATATAAATTCACGTACGATCCAATTGATTGTTGTAGCAGTTTTCAAACCTTTTTTCAGAAGAAATATTACTTAATTTTAAGCTAGTTTTAGCAGGTAATATACTAATATGTGTGACATATGTATTGAAAAAAGAGAAACTCGATTTTCTATACACATAGTCAGAATTAAGACAATAATGTTATCAATAAATAAAAATATTGAAATAAAGAAAAAGAGTTTAAAGATTTTCAGATTTTAACATATGATGAGTGAGTTTGCCCTAGCGGTATAAGTTGAAACACGGTTGATCCTTCAAGGGGAAATGAAAAGTAAAAAGAAATAGTCTCTCTATCTCAATTTATGTCATATTTTTTGCTTCTTGAGATTTAAACTGTGAACTTTAATCAATATTTTTTGAAATGTATTTTTTCTATTATATTAACATGAGAAGACTTGTATAGTTTTTAAGTTTTTAAATTTTAATTTTAAAATATTGAGTTACTCTAATCAAATATAGCTTCAAAAATTAGTTAAATTAATTGTCAAGAAGCGAAAAATATCACTTTATTTTATAAGCTTACTCTTCTATTCTTTCCTTTGACTCCAAATTTTTGTGACAAATTCGGACTATAATTTTAACGGATACTTCCGTCACAATTTTTATTTCTTCATGCAGCATATATAACCCCACGTTTCTGTTGTCTAAAACCAGAGGTCATTGCACTTATTTTGTGTTTAATTAACTCTTATCATTCCCCTAAAATGTAAATCCTAATACCCCAGAACCCTCTTTTACATGCACGTCTATCTTGGATCTACAGAGTTGTTTTGCACAAACAACCACTTTTGTGCCTTTGTATTTAGAAGTTGGCGACCCTTTTCAATTTAGAGTATTAGTGGTCTAATGTGCGAAATTTAAAACAAGCCTTATAGGGAAAAGGCATAAGATGACGAGTGATTAACGTTCATATGTAAATCTTTCACGTTCTCCACAGAAAATTATCTTTTCCATATTTTGAAAATCTTTGGTTGCCGAAAATTGAATACTAAAATAAAATCAATCTAAGATGATTCTCGTAACACATGCTAATTTATTCCCAAATTTCCTCTAATCTTTTCTTGTTTTATTTACATGATCATTAATTTTCCAAAGATCTATTTACAGTTGTGATTTCCGATTCCGGAAGATATTGGTATACAAGAAAGTAGTGCTCAAGTAGTAAATCTTCTCCACCTTCAACCCTAAGGTTGCGGGTTCGAGTTACCAAGGAAGCAAAGTGGTGAGCTGTGGGAAAAGGTTAAAAATTAAAAAAGAAAAGAAAGAAAAAGAAAAGATTGGGGAAATAAAAGTGATTAGGATTCTACAGGAAGCAAAAAATATTGTAAACATACTTCAAAAGAAGATGAAAATCTCATAGGAGACATAACCTGATGGCATACAAAATTAATGTCAAAGCACATAAACTAAACTGTAATATTTTATCTTTGACGTAATGTAATTATTATGACGTCGCTGTCACTCAATAATTTTCTGTTAGCAATCACCTAATCAAAGAGGCAACTAAAGTTTTCTTGCCAAGGCTGTCTATTAACTTTCTTTTTTCCGGCAAATTGTTTAGACGCACATATTCGATAATGCACAAGATATGTCTACTTACGTACGAAAGAAACATACAACTTACAAGAAGGAAATCGTAGAATTCAATTTCTACGATATATATATATATATATATATATATATATATATATATATATATATATATATATATATATATATATATATATATATATATCAAAAAGAGGCGAATTCAAGATTTAAACTCTGTGGGTGTTTTTGGTACGAAGGAAAATATGTTTCGAAAAATATTTTCCAATTTTTCCATGTTTGGTTGGCTTAAATGTTTTGGAAAATATTTTTCTTGTGAACTCATTTTTCTCCAATTGGAGGAAAATGTTTTCCTTATCAAGAGAAGGGAAAATATTTTCCAAAACTCCTTCTCAACCTTCCCACCCTATTCCCCACCCTCACCAACCCACTCCACACCACAACACCCACCCACCCAACCCCACCCCACCCCCCTCTCTCCAAAAAGGCTTTTTTTTCGAATTTCATTTTTTTTTTCCGTCACCACCCACCCTGCTGCCTCCTTCAAAAAAATTANGGACGGGTAGTAGCATGCAATAGGTAAACGAGACCATTCCGCGCTTTAATACCTTAACGGGATGGGAAGGGTAGATATGGATATGATGACCATGAGATAATGTCACGTGTATCCCCTCATTGAGGAGTGATTGCCGGGCATTTGTGTGGGGTGATCCATATTATTAATAAACCTAGGACCCCTCTCCCTTTATTTCTTTCTTTTCAGCATTTTACTTCTCTATTTTTAAATTCAGTTTTTTTTAATTACTCTTTCAAACCTTGTTTACTTTCAAACCTTTATATGATGAAATCCCCTCTTATTTGAGCCCTATTTGTTTATATGCTCATTGTACCCAAATTCACAATAATAGTTTGGCCGGGAACCACACTAGTGGATTCTGAGGGGTACCTAACACCTTCCCCTTAGAATAATTTCAAGCCCTTACCCAATCTCTGGTTACTCAAATCAAATCTCCTTGGTGTCCTAATGCACCCTAATCATTAGGTGGCGACTCTTTAAATCGAACCCAATTCCCAAAAGGAATGAGTTATCCTCCCAAATGTCATAAACCCGATTTGGCGAGAAAAAGGGGGCGCGACAGCATGGCGACTCTGCTGGGGATCTTTAGGCTTTTACCATTTCAGACCTTTATTGTGAATTTATGCTTCTTTACGCACACTTATTTGTTTATTTCCTTTAAGCATTCAATTTTCTTTTCAATTGCCAAACTGACTGATCTCCTTTTTCTTTTCTTTACTGCTTTTCATTACTACTGCTTTACATTATGAAACTGTTGTATTTACCGTTTTTTTAACGTGCAAATACATGACTACATGCCTTTAACTGTTGCATAATCATGCTCAACATCATATTCCACTCGTGCCAAACAAAATCCTATAGCAACGCTTATAATGAGTGGTTGCACTCTTCCGATATTATCACCCCCTAAATCTGAAAACGACATATTTACAGTAAAACCAGTCGATCAACGGTGTAGTCGATGGTTCCGTGCCTTCCCCCCTTGAGTTGTCCGCTCAAGGGTACCGGAAACCCCATAGAAATCTCACTCTGTTTAACTATGCATGCATCATGGTCAAACCTAGCCCAGTCAGTTATGTTGTCCGCATAATGACTCTTTAAGATAGCCTTGTCCAAAGTCCACTGGGTTTCCCTGAGACCCAAACGGACATTATCACATTCTGTGCATTTATTTGGAGAACTAAATACTTTTATGCCAATTATTGATGTTAAATAGTCGAGTCCGGTGGGGGAAAGGGCCTAACCTTATTTTCTTGCAGATAATGAGGCACGAAATCTCAAGATTCGGCATGGTTACCAACATCCATCCGAGACTGCTAAACTGGTGGAAAGATCTTCATTCCAGTGACCAGACTCTTGTCAGAAAATATCTATGGAATCTACCCTCCCTCCTGGAAATCCAACCCAACAACAAGATCATCGAAGCTGCTACCCTCTTTTGGGATTGTGAAAGGTCCGTCTTCCGCTTCGGGGAGATTGAGATGACACCCTTGCTAGAAGAAATAGGAGGATTAGCCGGCTTGGTATGGGAGACTCCAGGTTTATTGATGCGTGAGAGCCACAAGGGCAGGGGTTTCCTCAAAATGATGGGTCTGAAGAAGAATCCAGAACTGACATGCCTCAAAGAATCCTATATCCCCTTTGATTATTTGTACAAGAGGTACGGTCACAGCAAATCCTCCCGTACCTATCCTGATGAGTTTGCCATTACCTCATTGGGACATATCCATCGAAGGGTCTTTGTATTCATGTTCTGTTTTCTGGGGTTTATGGTGTTTCCAATGAAGAAAGCGAGAATCCACACCCGACTAGCCATGGTCACTTAAACCTTAATGGAAGGAATTGGAGGGCAACCATTCAGCATTGTGCCCATTATCGTCGCAGAAATATACCGAGCCCTAGAGAAATGTCAATGGGGAGCTAGTCACTTCGAGGGTTGCAATTTGCTACTTCAGCTGTGGCTCGTGGAGCATCTACAAAAGGGTGAATACCGACAAGGCATTCAACGAAGGGATTGGGTCGATCATATCGCTTTCCATCACCCAAAGCGAATGAATTATCTCCCTGATATGTTTGCTCAGCCAGAGGATGCCAAAGGATGGTTTGAACTATTTGATAATTTGACCGAGGAGCAAGTACAATGGATGTTCGAATGGTTTCCGACTGAAGAATTCATCGCCCGATCCCGAGACGCAGCTTTTCTGATATTGATCGGTTTGAGAGGAACGTATCCTTACGTCCCTCTCCGAGTTATGAGGCAAGCTGGTAGGAAGCAGGTTGTACCCAGGGTCGACAAGATGAGTCACTTCCGGGCTCACATCCAAGCTAACGATAGTCCTTACAAGTGCCAAGCTCAGCATATGTGGCACTGCAAGATCATCATGGGGAAAGATACCATCGAACCAGATAGATACCACGCCGGTTGTACTCCCTACTATACCGGCTGGTTGGAGGATAATCACAGTGGTCTGAGTCAACTTGGGTTTGTTCGGGGTCACAGGATCATAGATGAAAAGGCCGAGGCACAGGTTAAATA